GCTATTTCCTTGCTTGTCAGATTTTTCTTTATCATCCAATCACTATTTCCTGCCATCCTCTTTATGGTAGACTCAAACGTATGAAACCCAGTAGGGAAGAAAACTCTTGGTGATAATGGTGGGGAAAAAGGGAGATAAGGGAAATCATTCTGAATAAGATTTAAGTGCTTGGCTTCTGTCTGCCATATTTCTGCAAATTACTCCTAGCCATTATCATCCAGGAACTTGCAATATGTACCTTTTAGGTATCCATAATCTCATTCTGCAATCAAAAAGCAACAAAACGGTACGGTTGAGCAATGTATATCCTATCAAAATGATTTCATTTTGTAACATACAAGACCGCTAATTATCAGAAACTATAGAGGTACAAATTGTACATGTCTTAAAGGACCATCTACAATCAAATTATAAAAGCTAAATCATTTCTATCCGTTTAACCTTGTTTGGTTTACAGCTAAATAACAGAGGAATAAATGATTCAGCAGAAGTCTTCAGATTATGTTTTCCAAACCTTCAAGATAGGGGCCCTTATGAGAAAGTGAAAAAAATGTAATTTTTAATAGCTTTCAAAATATTAAACAAGTTTCAGTAAAGAGAATACAGGAACAGTACTTTGAAACAGCCTTTAGCTATATCTATGAAGACTCTTTCCATTTTCCATTTTCCATGATAATATACCTTAAACAAAGTAGCATTAAAAAAAGATCAAGTATGCTTTAATTTTCATCCTTGTTAATTAAAAGAGGCCCTTCTATTGCTCTAAGACAAACTTATAACGAGTTGTACGTTGATAAACATATTTTAAAAATCTAATAAGCTGTACTGAATTGTGTTGCAAGAATTTCAATTTCTGTAAATGAACTAAGACATATCATCCGTGCAGTTAGCAAGCCATTTATATGGCTGTACAACTTTATGTGAATTCTACTTAAGTTCTGGAAAGCCTTAAAACCACCTCAGCTGTCCTTCCTAGTATATACAGAAACAAAATCTACATATTTCAATTCTAGAAGGATGGGTATGATGTCTTTTGTAACAAACAAGCCAAAAACGTCTAGTAGCAACTTAAAAAATCTGTTATATAATCTTTTGTTCATCACAATCTGATCACATCTAATGAAGCAGACTGAGATATACAGAACCATATGTGATAATAAATTTATTAATATTTAAGATGCCATAAGACACATCATTTTCTCCTTACATGCTAGGAATGCCACACTATTCTTGTCTCTGCCATTGACACCTCATGGTTGAATTAAAATCCAGTGGGTGAGGCAATTCTCCACATTTTGCCTGTGGAATTTCATTCATTTGTTCAGTTATGAAGGTTATAGGAGCATTATCAATATATGTATCAATAACAGGTCCAAATGAACTTTAATAATAAGTGAAATAAGGAAGGAATCTAAAAAAACATCTTACAAGTAAGAAATTAGCCACAACAGAACCACAGATGGTAAACTCTTGCAAAATGAGAACATTACTGGCTTTATAGACCTTAATTTTGGATTATAACATCAAAGTTACTACTCAAAAGTCTCGTTGGATTTGAGGGAGAATTAAAGGAAAGTATGTATATTCCCTAGAGCTTGGCTCTTGTGGCTATATGAGCCATATCCATATAATATTCTTGGCAAAAGTATTTAAGGAGGTGGCATTGTGTTCTTCTCAGTTGCTTGTTTGACTTCTCAAACTAGCCTTCAGCTCTCAGATTTTCTGGTGGTCTCCAATCTACATGTTCACCAATTCTGTTTAGTTTCTCAAGATCAGTCAAGTTTAGCTAGGCACTACAAATCTGGATAACAGGAAGATTTATATAGAATGATGGTTTTCAGACCGAGCTCAACGGTGTAACTGAGGTTTCTTGAATGCTTGGTGTGAGTTCTACAATTAGAAGATCAGTAACAGTCTCGAAGTGATCATTTACCATAGCTTACTTCTATTAATGTCCCCCCCACCCCGTTCCCTTGCAATATGAACTTGGGTTGTTTTCTGCAGTGCACAGTCCACTCATTCAACACCAATAGGGCCAGTAAACACATTCCACACTCTTCATGGATCGGGGGTGCGCTCCAGAATGTTATTCCCAGAATGTTCTAGACTGCGCACTGGCTCCATGGCAGGCAGGTTACATCAGTGATGTTACAGACATCTCTACAAATGTCTTTATCACATGAGACTTGGGACTGGAACTTTATTGTAATCACCTGAGATGGGCCCCAAACCAAGAAGAGAAATAGCATGTATGTAAAATGTGAAGAATATTTGTAAAAGATCATGGAAAGTTCAAGGAAGGTATTCCAATTGGACATGGCTCCATCCTCCTGACCTGCAGGACTTCCCAACAGGAGTAAACAGAGATCTCTTCAAGCCTTCGCTATTGGACCTACCAATGAAAAGGAATCCATTAATATTTTCTTTAACTTTTGGACTCCCATTGTTGCTGTCATAGGAGGAAACAATTCAATTTCATGTCTTTACTTTCTTGTCAAGTAATATTTAATCTTTCTAATGCTATTTAATTTTAACTTAATGTAAACCCAACCAATAACACCCACTGGTTTTCCAATAACACCCACTGGTTTTTTAAGGCAATTTATCACACAGAAGCCAAAGGTAATCCTTTGACTTACAGAAAGATCTACCCCGCTGTTTTACAGATTTAAAAAAGCAAAAAACAAACCACTATGCAGAAATCTACCCCAAAGGGAATCCTGGAAAGTTTTGGATGATGAAGGGATTTCAATTAAGAAATTGTTAAATGGATGCCAGGTAGATTTTCTGTTATAAGTAGATTCCCTGAGGCTCATAGTGGTGCCAGCCTTGTCTCGTTGTCTCAAAAATTGTGCTTCTGTCAGGCTTCACTGATTGTGCCTGACACATTGCCAGCCACCTAATAGGGAGTAGGAGATAAGTCTTCGAATCTGCGCCTCCTACTCGACTAGCTTTTCCCCTCGCTGAAACAACACGGGACTGTTGGCTGTTCCAGTTACAGAGCGTAACGTTGTGGATCCATTGCAAGTTCCTGCCGAACTATCTTTAATTGCAGGGTGTAAGGATTGTATTACGTTCCAGCGATGAGGGGGGGAACTCATCTTATTGTGGTTTCCTTTTCTTTGGCTTATGAGTTAGCACTTTGGGGTTAGGTGTGTTCTGGGCATCGGATATAGATGCGATTAGGATTGCAGGGCGGCGGCGTGTGGGGTTAATTAGTTAGGCGGATGCTAGATTGAGAATGGGAAGGGGATGGGGCATAAAAGGCGCTGGGGGGCGTTCACTCTCAGCGCTGGCTTTGCTCGGGATTGACGTTGTATGCCCACTGGAAGGAAACAAACTACAATAAACTACAAACTTCACCAAACCTGTGAGTAAATGTGCTTGTTGACTGAGTTTCCGGATTTCCGAAATAGGGCTAACAGCTTCATCAATATGAAGGGTATGTTGGGTATGGAGATGTGTCAGAATGAACAAGATGGCAGATGAAATATCATATGCAAGCCCCTCCCTTAAGAGTGGGACTTAAATTATGTCCCATCCACCATTTTGTTGGTTTTAATTCACCACTGTAGACATTGCTGTTATACAGAAACATTCCAGAATAAGGGTAACAAAATGGCAGCTTTTCCAAAGAGGATAGTTAAATGCTTCTGGATACTTCAGAAGTTGTGGATGCCCCATCACTGGAGGATTTTAAGAAGAGTTTGGACAGCCATTTGTCTGAAATGGTATAGTACTGTATCCCCTGCTTGAGCCGGGGTTAGACTGAAAGACCTGCAAGATCCCTTTCAATTTTGTTATTCTGTTCTGTTTGGTTCTATTCTGTTCTGTATTACTCAGCTATTTTTCTGTATGACAGTGTTTCCTAACCTAGTGCATCCTAACTGGCTAGAACTACAATTCTAACCACCACTAAACTATTCCTATTTGGGGAGCATACAGGGAGGTGCCAGGCTGCTTCTATGTGTGATGCACAAAAGGGGGAAAACAGTGTTTTTTGTTGATCATTTTTAATAGTAAAGTGAGACATATTAATTCATGCCTGAGTTATTTTGTTTCCCTTTCCCCTCTTCGTGTGTTTCTTCATCTATGTCATCTTATTTTATTTTATTTTTTCATTTGAAACACCAAATGCAAGAGCTGCTTAGACTTAATTACTGTGTAGGATGCTCTGGAAATTTTCAAGCTGAGGGGTGAGCCATATATCGTTTAAATTAGGGGGTGAAATTCAACCACCTCGGCCCACCTCGGGGGAGGTGATATTCAGCAGGTTCTGACCAGTTCTGAAGAACCGGTAGCAGAAATTTTGAGTAGTTTGGAGAACCGATGGCAACCTTCCCCCAGGAGTGGGAAGGGAATGGAGATTTTACAGTATCCTTCCCCTTCCATGCCCATCAAGCCACGCCCACAGAACCTGTAGTAAAAAATATTTGAATCCCACCACTGGGTGGTAGGGATGATTTGAATCAGTAAAAAAATCGCCCCTGGTTGCTATTACTATTATACCAAGTCACGCCCACAGCCACAGAGACGGTAGGGAAATTTTTTTGAATTTCACCTGATTTAAATATATAATAAATAAAAATAGCACCTACGCACTGAGTGTTAATCTACTTAAGACATTTAAACAAAATGGATTCCACAATCAAATCTGCTTTCCAGTGTAAGTATTTATCTCGAGCTAACACCCAGAGTGAAAACTGGAAATGTAGCAAAAAAGCCATGAGGTGTGTGTGTGTGTGTGTGTGTATCTCACATCACAAAACCTTTCGCCAAATTCCTTCTGATATTTTTGTGACTGGAAAGGGAGTTAGAACTTTCTGAAATTCCCAACAATTACTCTGTGAAAAACACTGTTTGCAGCCAAGGTGTTTGCAAAGCAATGGTTGAGTAGGAAGACCAGTAAACGAGAGGGTCTTCTGGCAACACTTCTGCACATGTTTGCATTGCCTTGCACAACTGAAAAGAAGAGGAGTATAGGGAGCTTACTAAAGTTTTTATTGCCTCCGGTCACTTTTCGCCCTGGGTCTGCTGTCATCCAGAAGTGAAGAAAGGATCTGGTTCGAATGGTGTCGCTTGTTTTTCGTGTTTGCTCGGAGCGGGGCGCCCAGGATCACATCTTGTCCTGAGCCTGGTTCAACAGAAGACAAAGAATCTGAAAACAAAGGAAACCGGGATGGGGGTGTTGCTTAAAAAACAGGGAGGGGACAGTGGGAAATGCCCTGGCCACAGAGGACCCCCATCTCCATGGAAAGAGAGAAAGCCTGAAAGCTTTAGCTGCCAGAGAGGCAGACAGATCAATGGCAGAAAATTATGAATACTATAATCAACTGCTATCAAACTAATCAAGAATTGGTTTCGTGTAGCAGTCAAGGTGCTGCACTATAGAAACTGGGAGACGGTGAGTTCTAGTCAGTGATTTGGGGGCAGACATTCTCTCTCAACCCATCCCGCCCCACTGGGGTGTCTTTGTTGTGGGGAAAATAGGCAGAACAGAATTCTAAAAAAAATCATATATAAATAGTGTTCTGGACATGTGGCTGCCCTTGCTGTATTGCCACACTCAGTCACACTGTAAGGGGCCCACTTTTCCCTTCCAAAAATGAGATAACGTCACCCAACGTGGCATGGTTTTGCTTAAAATTTGTACCTGCTCATTTCAATATCCAGGTACAAATGTAGAAATCCGTGAATCGGCACTTACCGTGAATCCCTATCATGTGTTCTAAAATTAGCACTCTCTCTGCTAAAATCTTCAAGGCCTCCCGCAGTTGTTGGACCCCTTCACCCTATAGAGGAGAGAAAAAGTGACGGAGAGAGAAGAAATGTGCACATTGTGTTAAAACTCACATTTCCCCTTTTCCTTTTCTTAAAGCAAAAGGGAAGTGTTTCAGTAACTCATTCAACCTCTCAAGGACTGACTGCATTGTTTCAAAATGGCTGAGACAGGTACTCCTCAACCTATGACTGTAACAGAGCCTGTCCATTATAGTCATATGTTGCAGAGGTGGTATTCAGCAGGTTCTGACCAGTTCTGGAGAACCGGTGCTGGAAATTTTGAGTAGTTTGGAGAACCGGGAAATACTATCTCTGACTGGCCCCGCCCCCATCTATTCTTTGCCTCCCAAGTCCCAGCCGATTGGCTGGGACTTCTTTTGTTGCCCTGCACAGGAGAACGGAGCTGGAAAGCAGGTTACTGGGGTGGGGAGGGAATGGAGATTTTACAGTATCCTTCCCCTGCCACACCCATCAAGCAACACCATGCCTACCAAGCCCACCGAACCAGTAGTAAAAAAATTTGAATCTCACCACTAATATATCTTACCCAATTTTATGACCTTTCTTGCAGCAGTCATTGTGAATACTGTGCTCATTAAGCAAGCCAATGGTTTGCTCGGGGTGCAGTTTTGGCAAAACCTTGAAGTTGTGCTAATTTTCAGTAAACTATCAAAAAATGCACTTTGTGTGACCATGGGATGTTGCAAACAACTGTATATACATCCGAAATGCTCAGCACCTGATATGTGAGGGTGAAGGTTCGTTCTCTGAGCTTGTGGGCTGGTTTCTGAACATTTCGTTAGGTAACATCTTCAGTGGAGTTTAGGGGAAGTCAGTGTCAGTGTTCCTCTGTTTATAAGAGGAGGTGTGGGTGTGTCAAGTGGGGGGGTCCTATGAAGGTTCTTGTGATGGGGAGGTTACATCAGGTAAGAGTCATTGGGAGGTGAAGTTCTGGTTGGGGCAGGTGGCTTGTGTGGGTTGATGCTGTCTCTGGTTGGCTGTGCAGTGATTTGGATTCTGATGAGTTCATAGGTGGGTTTTAGGTCAATGTGTCCGTTGAGGGAATTGCTTGTGAAGTGTCAGGTTTCAATGAATGTGGCAGGTGGTAGCAAAGCTGATCATTTGAGCGTTGCCCAAATGATGCTGTTTGCTGTTGGTGTGGGTAGAGATTAAAAAATTGGGATCGTGGCATTTTGACTACCAGCTGATATTTGTGGATCCTGGTTTTTAATTGACATGTGATGTTTGTCCCACGTACAACTGGTTGCAATGATTACAGTTGGTTTTTGTAGATTATTTTGTGTCTTTCATCCTTCTGTATATTGTGACCCTCACCTGATATAACCTCCCCATCACAAGACTCTCACTGATGACACACACCTAACCCATCATGACCCATTACAAGACCCCCACTTGACACACCCACGTGACCCATCACAAGACCCCCACTTGACACTTTCACACCTGAAGTCCTTGCAGACAGACAAACACCGACATCCCCCAAACATCAGTGAAGATGTTATCTAGCCTGGTAATGAAACCTTTGGAAACCAATCTACAAGCTCAGAGAATGAACCTTCACCCTCATCCTACACCCCAGCTACAGATATTCACCACTATTGCAAACCTGAAAGTTGGTCATGTGATTACAGAGAAGGCTCAACCATCAGAACTTTGAAGTCCCCTTTTTGTGGATCAGTCATAACTTTGAATGGTAAGTGATCAGGCATAAGTTGAGGACAACCTGTTTTTAGTTTACAACAGTGGTCCCCAACCTTTCCAGCTTTGCATACAGGGAAGGGAAGGGGTGGGCTAGCCTGTGTGCACATACACTCACTCACTACTTATGCATGTGGAGCTGCCCGCCACTTCTGCGACCTGGTTCCAAACAGGCCATACTGAGCCACGAGCCAGGGGTTGGGGAACCTCTAGCTTATAATATGTGTGGATTCACCTGTACCTACACATTTGTGCACACACAGAGAGATATCCAGCATTTGAAAAGACAGCATAAGGATGATAAACAATGATCTTGATACGCTATCTTTCTATTACAAGGAGCGTTTTGCCATTCTTGGTGTTTTCTCTCAGGTTCTACTACAGGTTAACTAGAAGTTTTAAATTTCAAAGACCAGTCTGGATTATCCATTTATGACTGATATGCAAGTTTGGAGAAATCCAAATGATGGATAACCAAACAAAGTTTCTGCTTGTTTGCGGCTAGGATGAGGATAGAAAAAGGCTTACTTTGATCGGCTGTTCCTACCCATCAAGGAACTGGATTCACCTTTGATGGTCAGAACTTCAGATTAATACTCTAATCCTATTTCTCACTTGATATTTACATTTAGCATTTCATCTTTAGCAGTTCATATTTAACATTTCGAATTTCATCTCCTCTTGTTAGGATCTGAGCAACTGGGAGCAAATAGGATTTAAGAGCCTAACATACAATGACTGGATGCTCTGATAACAACATGGAGATGGTATTTCACATTTAAGACCAGACCTTGATCTCAGATTTCAAGATGTTTTTGAAGATTTTTCTTGCACTCCACACCTTTCCATTCTGGCTGACCAGCTTTTGAACCTCTACCTGAATTAAGGCATAGAAGGTCAACTGGAGGCTCAAAATGAATTGCAATTCATATGCACAGGGTACCCATTTTCTTCCCCCTCACTTCCTATTTTCAGTTATTTCTTCCACAGAGACAGGAACTTCTGAATTAGCATCTGCAGGTGACTTGAAAAAAGATGCAAGCAACCAAGCCAAAACCTAATCCAGAGAAGATGGTGTACACTGAGTTATCACTTGCTCCTATTTATATTTAGTTGTAAGACATTTGCCCTTCCCCGAGTGGCCAACTCTACAATCAGGGAATTTACTGAATCTGAATTAACTGGGAAGCTTGAGTTTTCAATGATTGTGAAGAAAAGTTTTTAGGAAGTGAACCTGCTACCTCAAATGCCATCAAGTTTGAGGTGGTCTCTCTCTTTGCCACCTCGTTTACCACAAGTGATATCAGATTGAGTTTCTTACAAAAACTTTACCACTTGTCCAGGAAAGCCTTTCAGAATGTGAAATATTAAAGAAGCTCTCAAACTTTCGGAGAAGTTTGGCTTAAAATGCTAGCCTTTTTGTGAACTCCGAGAATCGGCTTCTGAACCTGAGATGGCCTTTTGAACTCAGTACTAGATAAATGTTACACAGCAGTACAAGGAGAGACTGTTGACACGACTCAGAAAAGTTGATTGCATCCTTACATCAGCACCTCTGTCTCCTTCTTCACCTTTCTTACCAGGTTCACCCTAAAAAAAAATAGCAGACAGAAATTGATATCCAATTGACAACAGTGTCTTTCTAGTAGTAAAGAGGGATAGAACCATGCTAGGAGCTATGATTTAAGATCTTAGTCTCCTTCCACATTCCCCAATGTTGTCTCCTCCTGAAGTGCTGGATTTCAGTTCTCAATTCTCATCAGCTGTTCCTCCAGCGTTGGCTGGAGAAAGCTACTCTATCTTCTCCAAAGAAACCCTTTAAGTAGCTTAGTTAATGCTATTGGTTGTTGAATAAGACAGGGGTTATCAACGTAATGGGTAGTCATGAAACCAAGCAAGCCATAATAGAGCTTGCCAATAACATTTAGGAAGTTCCTCCAGAGCCAACAGTGGTTGCGGTCAGCTGCTTCAGCACAGGTACACCTGGCTTATTGAAACACCACTCCTGGGGCAAGTGTGGGATCTGAAATCCATTAACAATATGCATCGGCTTTGATCTTCCTGAAATACGCTATCCATTAGTGGTGTACTTTAAAATTATCTCCTGGCCCACCCAAGAAGCAGCTCTCCACAAACAAAAGCAGTGGATTAAAAACAGAGGGCTGGCTTGAGTAACAGGACGTTCCAGAAGAAACTTGGCTCTGATGACTGTCCTTGAAAAACTCCGAATGCAAAGGACGGAAACAGATTTTGGCAGTGACAAAAGAAAGAGGCAGAAAGTTAATATATGGGGAAAGGTTATAAAAAAATGGAAGAATCCATTTTTATATGGTCTTCCGAGTTGTTTCTCTAATCTAAGGTCCTCGGGATGTATTTAAGTTAGAAATCCCAAAATTTCCAAGCACTAGAAGTCTGAGTAAAGTGATAGGGGAAAAATAGGTATAAATAGATTTTTTTCTTTCTTTTTCGTGCCTTTAAATCAGTGTCTATTCCAAGTAGTCCTTGACTTATGACTGGTTGCTTAGCAACCGTTCGAAGTTACAACGGACCCCTCAAAAGATACTTATGACCCTGATTCAAAATTTCAATAGTGGAGGCATAAGTGTGCAGTCCAGATTTGTCCAACTGAACAGGCTAAGGATGGCTGGAAGGTTCGTGGCAGTCAGGAAGATCATGCCCAGGAATGCGCAATGCAAGAAGCTGTGAGGGGTTGCTGATCAGTGAGAATGGCCCATTTCCCTTCTCCAATCCCATCTTGGGACAAGAAGGCAATATAAGAGACTCAGCCAATACAGAAGAATTTGAGATTGGGATAGAACTGGAAGTGGAAAGCGAAAGAGAGAATTGAGAACAAATCATACAGGAGACTAAGATGAAGACTGACATGGAGTGAAGATGTCAGCAGGAAAGGAAAAGTGGATATGAGATGTGGCAACAAAATAATGTGACAGAAAGTACAACGGGATTAGAGAATGAAACCTAGCGCTGCGAGAAACAACGTGGGACAATGAAGACCATCAGGTGATCCAGAAAGTGAATGGTGGGATAGTAGAGGACCCTGACAAGTGGTCAGTGAACAGTGAGAGGATGAAGGGAATTTAGATTAGTGCCCCAGGAAGGAGACCATTTTGGAGGCCAAGACTAGATCATTGACCTGAGGCTGCAATCAGTCATTAAATACAGGCCACAGAGTAATAAATAGGAGACTTTTGGCAATTGTTATTGGTCCTTCAAGAGGGTCTTGATAATGATGATGATGGGGGTGGGACTGAATGGAGCCACAGAGGAACAGGTGTTACATAACCTTAGGTGTCCATATTAATATCGAAGAGATGCTGGCCTAGATGGGATAGGAAAGATGTTAGCACACTTGACCTGGGGGGACCTAAGGCATGGCTAGGATTTCTGGTGCCCCAGTTAATATGAGTAGTGAGTGAATAAAGTCACAGGAAAATTTAAAAATAATGGGTGGAATGAGAGTGAAGAGATGAGATGCTTCTGGAACCAGAAGTGTGCTGACATCAAGGGACTGGCAGAGTGGTTAGATCAGATACATCCCAGATGGTTAGAGTAGGAATGGAAAGATGTGTGAATTGAATAGGGATGAATGTGAGCTGGGAGGGGAGAATGGCTTTCGGGACTCCTGCAGCTAATAGGGGAAACAAGGAAGAACTAAGGGGAGGAAGTGTGGAGGGTGAATGTTGAAGTAATAATGGGTTGGAGATAAAAGCTGGGCAGATTATGAGAGGAGAAGAGTAATAGGCAGATTGATACTCATCTCTCTCCCAGCTCAGCATCCTCAGCCCAGTGCCTAAGTGGCCAAATTGTGGCTTGCCTCAGCATCAAGATGTTGCCAGTTCTATGTAGAATAATAACAGTCATTTTTATGACGTGGCGTATATTACCAAGACTTGGCTGGAAAAAGAGGCAATGTACCCCTCCCTGAAACCTATCCACTGAGTGATTGTGAAGTGAGGAAGCAAAGACTGCCTGGGACAATTTGTTTGTGAACGAGGGTCATGTTATAGAGGGTGTTAGTCTGTTTCTGATCTTGTGCAGTGGGACAAGTGAAGTATCCTGCTTATATTATTATGTTTACCATGCTGTATGGCCCAGTCCCTATTTGATCCTCTGGAACTTGTTGCAGAGGTCTCCAAACTTGGCAACTTTAAGACTTGTGGACTTCAACTCTCAGAGTTCCTTAGCCAGCATGCTGGGAGTTGAAGTCCACAAGTCTTAAAGTTGCCAAGTTTGGAGATCCCTGGCTTATTGGAAGGTTGGTTATGGTGTGGTCTCAGCTGGGGGGTACTGTAGAACCTCAATCTTTATGCCTTGGGTGAAATTAACCCACAAACATACATGGACACACATAAATAAATCACTTACAGGAAAACCCTTAATGCCTCTTTCACCAGTCTGCCCCGCTGGCCCCTGTCAGAAGTAAAATCAATTAATGGGAAAGTCCAGCTGCTAGGTTAGTAGCGAAAGCAATTTGTTTCTTTATTTGTTTACATGAGAAGGGGATAGATCAGAGAAGAGATAGATGAGCATCAGGATGTAGAATCGAAAGTCTTTCGAACAACATTAAATGAAACTGATTAAATATAGTGTTTTGATATGAGATACCTTTTAGAAAAAGAAACAACTCAGGTTTTGAGAACAAATGTTGTGACCCTTTTGCTTATTTGTATTATTGTTCTTGTTATGTTTTTTTAACTGTGAGTTACCATATCTCAGGGCAGTTTTCAATAAATACTTCAAACAGTTATGATAAAAATCCTAAATTTACAACTAAGCATTAAAATCCACCAAAAATTAAAAGTCTGCTCAAAACATGTGTTTATAAGTCTTTTTAAAATGGCAGCAAAATTAATTTCAAGATCTGAAGAGGCAATACAGATACTAAGAGAACTATAGAGATGGCTCAATTCCTGATGGTCCTTGGAATCATCCTTGGAAAAATATTTTAATAAGTTTTTTTATCTCAGCATTTTAACATATTTTTTACTTGAAATTCAGGATGGCAAATATTGTTTTGAAACAATTATACAAGAAAGCCTAATTTCTCTTGAAAAAAAAATACAGCACTGATAAGCAACTACCTATCAGCCAAAAATCAAATCCCAACCCAACAACCACTACCACAACTACTACCTCAACTACAATCACAACTACAACCAAAAATAACCACCAAACCACAACCACAAATAATTACTATCCCATCAAATAATTCCACAAATGATATCTCCTTACTCATCAGAGACACCATAGAACGTGATCAGAAACATCCAAATGCCATCTTATTTGGTCTTGAAGACACCAATGAATCAGATGACATCACCAAAGTTCGTAATATCATAAGCAACTCAAATACAACAAACATCTCTCCTGGAGATATCATTGAAATAACCAGAGATGGCCCTGGGTACAAATACAATGATGGCCCCAAAATTTTGTAGAGTTGTTTGCAAAAATGATTCCAGCAAACATATATTCATTCAAACAATAAACGCCATTGCAAAAACCAATCCCAACCACAAAAAACTATGTTCAAGACCAGACTTATCCATACTGCAAAGAATCTGCTCCCGTGAACTCCGCAAGGAACTCAAAAGACGTCTAGACAATGGAGAGAAGGATCTCTTCATTGACTACTGCGCAGATTGTATCAAAAGTAAGTCACACAACCCACAACTCCACATCCAACCCTACTTCATCCAACCCACCATCACTCAAAACTAGGCACGCACACCCCTAACTACCTCAATTCCAACTACAACTGGCCTTAAATGCAAGCTACTCAATGCAAGAAGCCTTGTGAATAAAATACCTGAATTTCTCCTCTTACTAAATATGACCAAATTCGACATCATATTTGTCTGTGAAACATGGCTCAATGCATCTCTCCCTGACTCCATTACCACAGTAAGAGACTATCATGTTTACCGATCAGATTGTGAAATTCATAGAGGAGGTGGTGTTGCTATCTTCTATAAAAAGTCCTTACATCTAAAAAACATCCAAGTTACCCAAGAGCTTGCTCTTCCTGAGACCATCGTCTGTGAACTGTCCTTAAATATCACATTTCGATTCTTACTATGTTACAGAGCCCCTGATTATGACATTGAACATGTAAACAAGCTAAATTCACTACTAACATGGGCAACATCCTGCCCACACACTTTTATCTTTCTTGGTGACTTCAATCTACCTCACATTAACTGGATTCTAAACGAATGTAAAACTGAACCCATACATGCAACCTTCTACAATGCTGTAACAAACCTGGGACTGGAACAACTAGTAACCAACAATACTAGACTTAACAACTGCCTCGATCTCATCTTCTGCAATAGTTTGAATTCAATTTACGGAATACAAATTAAAGAACCCTTTTCCAACAGTGACCACATATACTGAACTGACAAACAGAACAGTGAAAGAGAGAATAGTTTAAGGGCCCACCTGCTTCAAAAACAACTTTTTTCCACATGAATTTACCTGAAGCACCAATTTTCACCTAAAACCCTTCTCCTGTTATCATAATCATCTTAGATGTACCAAACTATATCTGTCATTAAATGTATTATAGGGCCAAATTATATCTGACAGTAATATTGTTTTCTTAGACTGTGCTATAATCCAGATTCAAAGAGGAAATGGTGATTTGGTATGCATGGAGGTATTTGCCTCATAGTAGTTGGTAATTCCTTACAGAAGTGTACTTTTTTTCTGGGGTTTTGCTACACTAGTGAAGATGCAGTTGATTTAATGTGGTGCCAACAGGTACAGTGTGTGCTTTGGTGTATAGTGGACAGTTTATGCCTGATTGCCTCTTCTCTAAATCTGGATTGATACTTTGCCTCAGTATTTAATATTTTAAAATTTTTCATTTTAGCTGTTGAATACAGATAGTCTTTGACTTATGATCGGTTGCTTAGCAACCATTCAAAGTTCTGACATACATGGGGGTACTTACACCTGGTTTCAAAGTTCCAACAGTCACCACCCATGCAGTCACATGACTGCACTTTGGGAGCTTGGCAACTGGGTTACATTTACTGCCATTTGCAGCATCCCATGTTCACATGATCACATGTTATGATGGCCTGACCAAAAATCAGTATTTACTTAAGAGCTCATAGAAAACCATGAGTTTGCCCTGGTGATGCAGTGGTTAAGTGCAATATTGCAAGCAACCTCTGTCCATAGCTTGGAGTTCAATCCTGATAGGGTTCAAGGTTAATTCAGCCTTCCATCCTTCCAAGGTCAGTAAAATTAGGGCCCAAGTTGTTGGGGGCAGTATGCAAATAATGCTTTTACATTGTACTTCCCTGTCTCTTCCTGTTGCTCCCCTCTGGGAGAAGGTTTTAAAATATTTCTAGCAGGACTACCAGATTCTATAACAACTTTGTTCCCTACGCCATCCGTCTGTTAAAGTTGCAAGATTTGTTTCTCTCGCCATGTACATGTATATGTCTGAACTAGACTGTGTTGTTTTTCTGTGTTATATAATATATGTGGGTATATGCATACTTTTGTATTTATTTATTTAGCCATGTTTATTGGAGGTGGAGACCCTTTGAAAACTGTATGCAATGAAATTTCATTTTAATGTATGCCGATTAGTGTACATTCAAAGTGACAATAAAGATATTCTACGTCTAAGCCTAAACCACTCAGAGACTGCTATAAAGAGCTATGGGGTGGTACATAAGCCTAAAATTCTATTGCTATTGCTATGAGTTTACTTAACAACCATTGTAAAAAGATAGTAAAATCAGGTCAGTCACGTGGTTGACTCAATTTATGTCTGTAATGTCTTACGACAGTGATGAGAAGGATCCATTATGGTTGTAACTCGCAGACCAGCTGCAGGCAAGGGAATTAAGAGCTCCTGATGTCACGAATGACAGTTTCCCTTGCACTGCAGATAACAACGATGAGAGTGAGTTGAGATGTGAGTTGAGATGTTGACATTGTATAGTTACCAAATAGCAATCAATATGCAAAGCCTATGATGTATGCCAACACGGTATGGAGTTAGTCAGCCCAATATCACAATTGCATCATGTAACATGAAGGTTCCTACAGGAAACATCTTTGATGCCAGCAAGACTTCCTCCTCACTCTTTTAATTAAAAAATGGAAAGCTGGCTCTTTGCAAGATCAACAATAGCCTCCAATTTAATCCTTATTTCTATAAATGTTTCTGGGCTTCATGTGAGCCTCACTTAGGAAATGGAAACAAAGAAGAATTACAGCCTTGTGATTCATTCAGAGGTAAATCTAGTTGCCAGATCATTTAACAGGTCAGTTGGAATAATAAAAAGATTTTTTGAAGAAGGGGTAGAACGATGTTTCTCAACTTTAGTAACTTTCAGTTGTATGGACTTCAACTCCCAGAATTTCTCAGGCAGCCGTACCTGCTGGAGAATCCTAGGAGTTGAAATCCACATGTCTTAAAGTTGCCAAGATTGAGAAACACTGGTGTAGATGAAGGAACTCTTAAGTGAGCAAGCAAGCCAAACAGCCATTATTTGAGCATATCTAAAACATGCTTCCAAAATTCTAATTGTGTCCATTGACTGAAACATTGCCCCAACATTCTATAATGCATATTTTTAATGCATAAAAGTGATCTGCTGAACTGCATCGGTCATCTGTAAAATGGCACAAATCTAAAAATTGGCTTACCCTTTCGCCTCGATCACCTTTTGGGCCCTTCAGCCCAGGCTGGCCAGGAGAACCAGGAGTGCCCTTATGGAAAGCAAAGACATTACAAATGTGTTTGTCAACCTGGGCTGTTTTAAGATGTGTGGACTTCAACTCCCAGAATTCCCCAGCCTGAATGGATTCAAACATCTTAAAAGAACCCAGACTGAGAAATGCTGCATTAAAAGTTACATTGCTTATGAAAAACTGTAATCTCTGATAACTCCTTCACAGGGGTGGGATTCTACCTGGTCAGTCCAGCTCTTATGATTCTGCCCAGTTTGGAGAACCGGAAAATCACGCCACTGGCTGGCCCCATCTCGCCCCGCCCACTCACTCCTTACCTTGCCTGCATTTTGTAAGTTGCTATTTTTTCCTTTTTTTTTCACCAACTATCAGCTGTTCTGCTGTGCTAGGTGATTTAGAAAGCAGGAAATCGTTGGATTTCTTGCTTTCTAGGTAATCTAAAAGCAGAGCTGAACCTTCCTTAACACCGAAGCTTCTATTTTTTAGTGCAGACTCAGGTAGCAGATTGCAGAATCATAGATCTCTAAGTGAATCTGTGATTCTGTGAGCAACTCAATCTGCCTGCCTGCTTTGCCTGATTTTGGGTAAAAGTTGCTTTTTAAAAAAATAAAAAATTCAATATTTACATAAATATTTATAATATTTACATACAAGCCACACTCAGCCAGTCACATGACCACCAAGCCACGCCCACAAATTAGGCCACACCCACAGAGCTGGTTGTTAAGAAATTTGAATCCCACCCCTATTCCTTCAGCAATAATTATGACTTATGTTTTGTACTTATCAATAGTCACTGGTTTACCAATGAATTCACTACTACAAATAAAGCCATACAAGATATTATTGTAATATCACAGAATCTCTGTCATATTCATGCATATGCAGGATCTTTTCATAGGTAGAAAATACTGCCTTTTGCAAAACAGATAGATCGTACCCTTATCTTACCTAGGTTTTACCCTGCTCTGCAAACATCATTGCACCTACCTATGACATCTATGTTGCAAAAGCTGGTTTTAGACAGTATAAAGCAAGGGTCTCAAACTCAATTTACCTGGGGGCCGCTGGAGGCAGAGTCTGGGTGAGGCTGGGCCACATAAGGGATTCCACAAAAAACGTTGTTAAAAAAATATCCTCAAATGTTATACTTTCATATCACGGTGGGGGCCACAGGATATCGTCCCTGCGGGCCGCAATTGGCCCGCGGGCTGCGAGAATGAGACCTCTGGTATAAAGTGTCTTTAGTCTAACTTTAGGCCAAATAATGAGCAATAGTTCAGCATTGCTGAAAAGTTCAGATAGTCCTCAACTTACGTTCATTAATTCAATGACTGAATGAAAGACAAATGACCTATCATTGCAGCACTCCTGCAATCACGTGATGAAAATGCATGCACTTAGCAACCTACCCGCCCTTATAGGGACATTGCAACTGCCCCCACCCAGCAATCTTTTCCCCACATCCTCCCTTGAAGGGTCCCAGATGCCTTGGATCTCCTCCCGATCGTAGCACACCTTGCTCCACTGAATTCCTTTGAAGGTTGCCTTTCCAAAAGAGAAAGTCAATGCAATGTGTGACCTTCCTACAGAGGCCACCTCATGCCATTCCAGAAGCAGCTGCCAGAAGCGGCTGTAACTCTCACAATCTCTCAGAAAGACATGATTTTTTCCAAATCACTCAATTTGGAAAATTACGCTCTTCTGAGATTGCCCTAATAGCAATAGCACTTAGACTTATATACCACTTCACAGTGCTTTATAGTGCTTTACAGCCCCCTCTAAGCAGTTTACAGAGTCAGCCTATTGCCCCCAACAATTTGGGTCCTCATTTTACCCACCTTGGAAGGATGGAAGGCTGAGTCAACCTTGAGCCTGGTGGGATTTGAACTTCCAAATTGTAGGCAGCTGGCTGCAGAAGTAGCTTGCAGTACTGCACTCTAACCACTGCGCCACAGAGGCTCCTCATGATGATGCCCACTTCCAGAATGGCACAAGGTGGCCTCTGTAGCAAGGCCACACATTGCATTGGCTGGGTGCTCTTTCAGAAAGGTTGGCTGCAACGGACTTAGTTGTGGTTGTAAGTTGAATACTACCTGTAACTATATGGGTTGTACCAGAGATCAATGACTCTTAAGTTGTACATAATTTAAAACATTAAACCAACATGTGCCTGGTACAAAAAGGCAGAATCAGGGACATGAAGCTATTAAGACCTTGCCTCTTTAAAAAGGAAAAGAAAAGAAAAAAGAAATATGAATAGTCATTTGTTTAAGCTTAGTAAAAAAAAATCACTTTAATTTGACCTGAAAAGGCTCAACAGGTAGGTGAAAATGGTTTGCCTACCTGTACTCCAGGTGCTCCAATTGGCCCTGGTGCTCCCTTGGGGCCTGAAGATCCAGGTGGGCCTAGTGAAAAAAAAAAGTATGAATGTATTTTAAGGATTTGCATATTACTTAATGCTCATGTGCATTCTGATGCAAATACCAGTGATGAATTAAAAATTACAAGATTTCAGGTCTTCCTGAAGCCAATGATATTCTGATATGGTTGGATTACAAATTCTGTCGTTCCCAACTGCCATGAGTGTCTTAAATGGTTTAATTAACCTCTTTTGCCTAATATATCTAAAGGCATCACTCGGAAGCATCATCTAGGGTTCATCTATCTGTTCCTTTTAGTTGGAGGAGAAATGCAGAGGATTCCAAAAAAGTGGTCTTTGGGTCTCACTAAAAACAGCATAGGGAGAAGGATAGACAATGATCTTAACATGCTATCTTTCTGTTATAAGGATGTGTTTTGCCATTGTTGGTGCTTTCTTTCAACTTCCACCACAGGTTGATTATAAGCTTTAAAGTTCACACAGCACTTCTAGAATATCCATTTATGGCTGATGTGCAGGACTGGAGAAATCCCAAAGATGGTCTACCAAACAGAGTTGCTGCTTGTTTGCCGCTAGGACAAGAATCGAAAAAAGGCTTACTTTGATAGGCTGTTCCTACCCATCAAGGAATTGGATTCTCCTTTGATAGTCAGAACTTCAGGTTAATATTCCAATCCTATTTCCCACTTGATATTTATATTTAATAACATTTGGCATTCCATATCATTTCAACAGTCAAGAGCAAATAGGATTTAGAGCCTGACATGCAAAGATTGGAAGCTTGTAACAATACAGAGATGCCGTACAATAGTATTTCACATTTAAACACCAAACCCTGATCTCATATAGTGATGTTTGGCAATTTCACTCCAGAAAACCCATTTATGGCTGATATGCAGGACTGGATACATTTAAATGCTGGATAACCAATTCTCAAACTTTTAATTTCGCTCATTTCCAAAATAAATAAATAAAACAACTGGAAAAGTCAATTTATTTCCGCCATTCTGCAACAAGTTTTGGCAAGATGTAATAGAACAGCCAGATTCATTTTACTTTATTTTGTTTTTAAGTAAAACAGCCTGAATAAAAAACAAGTGGTGACACAGTAAGGACCTCTGAATTAGATAGGGTTAAGGAGATTTATTGAGAAATTTAAAGGTATTACAGGGGCTAGGGGTAGAATCAAACCTGAACAAAAGTTTACACCTCCAATTTGTTTCGATTTATGCCTCGAAAGCAGCAGGAAACTGTTGTGATTTCGTTGCAATTCTCTATGGAAATGTGAGTGGTTTAGGTTGCCTGCACGCCTTCCTTGCTTTTAGGAAGCACGTAAGTGTTTCTGCAAGCAAAGCAGGTGCTCTTTCCTTGAACTGGTGACAGATCTAGACACCACCTACATAACTTGCCAGGCATAATTTTGGATCCAGCTTCCAAATCTCTGCCCTAGAGAATTCTTGTGACTCCAGACAGGCTAGAACCTCCCGCCGTCTCTTTCCTAACAAGCGTTGAGTTTTTCCTGGCACGTAGCAGCTCACTGCTTGGCAGAAGGAGAAGACTCATTTGGGCTGATCTGCTTGCTAATGCTGCATCGTTAAGGGATTGCCTTCAAATGGCTTCACCCTACCTGGGAAAAAAAAAGTGTGTGTGTGGGCGGGGGGGAGTGATATAATTTCTTCCAGACTCCGACTATTAATTACACTTGCCGAATCTTTGGGGAGAGGGAGGGACCTGCTGTGTGGGCTCCTTCCAAACTTAGCCTTAATTGTTTCAGTTGAAACCCCCAAGAGCTCCAGATGCTCACCAGGGCAATTGAATCTGCCTCCATAATTAATGCAACCCTCATATATCAAAGTCTGGGATGAAATGAGCTGAAGGCTCAGTGCAGGAATGTGGTAATAAGAGAAAGGACGTCTTGTCATCCTGATGGGAGGTCACTTTTGAGTGCCTCTGCCACAGACAAATCACTTAAGACAATTTCTTTTTAAGAAAAAAAAAGAAAGCAGAAAGAAATAAATGAAGATTACAGTTAGAAGTACAGGCCGGTCTAATGGAAGGAAGAGCTTTTTAACTATCGTGATTTAATTCCTTATTGTTGGGTGGACTGAAAAGATTGGTGTCATCTGTGGCTCTATGATCTTCCCACCCAACTCCATTTTGGGGGGGGGGGGATTGAGGGCGGAGTCAGTTCACAATTATTACCGTTTAGTGGGAGTGATAGTTTCAGTAGTTGGGTAAGAGGGCAAAGGGCGTTTTAAAAAGAAAGTTAAATCAGGGCAACTGGACCAAAGTATATAAAGTTGTCCTGATTTAACTTTAAAAAAAAAATATTTTGGCCTGGGTGACTGAGTCTTCTTTGACATAGGGCAAAGGGTGTGATTGGAATTCCACTCTTGAGGACATTGAGAGTTTTTCTTTTCTATATGTAAAGCAATCATGAGCAATTCCACAGAGCTGTGATGGCGCATTGGTTAGAGTGCAGTACTGCAGGCTACTTCTGCTGACTGCTGATTGTCAGCAGTTTGGCAGTTCAAGTCCCACTGGCTCAAGGTTGACTCAGACTTCCATTCTTCTGAGGTGGGTAAATTATTGAGGGCAAGATGCTGACTTTGTAAACCTCTTAGAGAGGGCTGTAAAAGCACTGGGAAGCGGTATATAAGTCTAAGTTCTAGTGCTAATCCGCAGGCCACAGATCCATTTTTGTAGGCAGGCAACCGCTCCTCAAAGATCACACCACTGAAATTTGGCAGCAACTTTGGCATCTTATTGTTTTGTGTCCCCCCCCCCCCCAATTAAGATCTCAAATAGATTGTTTAAGCTTCTGGCAGGCTTAAAGCATAAACTTTTCAAGAATCCCTCCAAACTGATAAATTTATTCACCTTTACTGTAAAACCGGGGAGAGGGGATGTTCTGTGCAGTACAATTACAGCGCATGGGCATACTTATAAAATTGCAGCCACAGGAGTACGAATGGCTACGCTACACAACAAATAATTTACCTGCATCTCTGTTCTGTAGGCTTTCTCTTACACCCCTATGAGGCAACCACAGCACAGGTAGTCCTCAATTTACAACCACAATCGTGATCAGAATTTATGTTGCTAAGCAAGGCAGTTGTTAAATGAATCATGTCCGATTTTATGATTGTTAAGCGAATCACTGCAATTACTAAATGAATCAAGTTATTAAGTGAATCTGTTTTCCCCCATTGATTTTTATTGTTGGAAGCTGCCTGGGAAGGTCACAAATGGTGATCACATGACCCTGGGACATTGTAACCATTGTAAGTACATGGTAATTGCTAAGCATCCGAATTGTGATCATGGGACCATGGGAAATGTGATAAAAGTCATAAGTGCAAGGACTGGTTGTAAATCATTTTTTTCAGTGCAGTTGTAAAACTTCAAACAGTCACGAAACAAATGGTTGTAAGTTGAGGACCATCTGTATACCAAAGAACACAATTGTGTTAAGAGGCCAGTAGATGAAACATTGCTGCAAGCTAACTTCCTGTTTTATTCTGTTGGTTTAAAAAAATCATTTTAGAAAAAAATCTGGAGGGACAGAAAACCTGGTCAGCATCAAGAAAAGCATTTGAGTTCATACTGGTGAACATGGATGTCATATTATTTATTCCTTGTGTAAAGCTGGTTTTAGGTTGCGATAGGATTCCCACCTCAAAATGTTTTAATTTTTAATATAGTAAATAATGTTAGATACAACCCACCTAAAGCAAAATTCTTTTTTTTTGGGGGGGGGGGGTGGCTCAATCATTGTTAGGAATATAAAGGGATCCTAAAACCGAAATGTTTGAAAACTACTTCCTAAGTGTGTGGAAAGCTGGCAGATTAATAAATCTGAAAAGTTGTTAAAAATGCTTCATAGTCTTAGTTTTGCTATTCTTTGTGATGGTGACAGTTGCCAACCCTTTAAGGGAAACCAACTGCACAAGTTTGACTGGACAGACTATAGAAATGGTATCTTCAAAAGCTGTGTTTTCCCTTTCTTTCTTCTTACAGTTAAGGCAGAGTCAGTTTGAATTTTTTTCTAATCCTTTCTATATTTCCTGGGCTTAAAGTGTACTTTATTTTTAACTGTTGCTGCATACTTTCTTCAAAATCATCTCTGTGGCTCTGCCCAATGGTGAGCATAGCACCGCTTATCGTATGAACAGTTCTTAGCTGAAATTTCGATTCACTTTGATTCTCTAAACCAGAATTTGTCAATTTCGGCATTTTTCAGCTGTGCGGACTCCAATTCCCAGAATCTCCCCCACCCACACGTCTTAAAGTTGTTGAGGTGGGAATTGAAGTCCATACATCTTAAAGTTGCTGAGGTTGGCACACACTGGTCCAAACAAATGGATTCATTCCGTCTGTAACAGAAGCCCTAGATTGGTGGGGTGTATCTGGAGTTTTGAGAACACGTGTGAAACTCGTATGGCTTCTGAGATGGGATGGCTTTATAGTTGCCATTGGGCAGAAAATTAATTACAGTTCACCAATTTACGAGAAGGAGATTTGAGAGTCCCTCTAACTCCCACTCATCTACTAGGATGGACGTTTCCTTTCTCTGCTTAACTTTGCCTCTTTGGGGAACAAAGTTCCAAGCTGCAGCTGTCATATTCTTATCATCCAAGAACACTTATGCAGTCTCATTGAGTCCCTGAAACATTCTTGAAAACAAAGATGATTGTTCCAGCTGCCACTTTGTTTGCTTCCCATTTATTTTTCCAACTGGAATACAGATGGAAAGAATGAGGGTTGGATGTTAAAAAGAAAAAAATTAAGTGTGTCAAGTGAACAGGTTCTAGAAGTGATTACCTTGGAGCATCTCAAACACAGTTATTGCTTTATTCCTTGGTTTCTATCAATCCAACTCTCTTACCTGGCAGCCCTATGGGTCCTGGTGCCCCACGAGGTCCTGGCAAACCAGTCAATATAGTGTCAATGACAGTAGATGCTAACTGCGGCTCTCCATCTGTAATAGCAAGAAAAAGTGGCGAGGCATCATTGCACGTTAAATTATGAAATGCATGTGACTGTATTTCGTGCCATCCGGTGATTTCCCTGGCTTGCAGGTGAATAGAAAGGCAGAGCTGGACAGTCCTTCCATTCCAATCCCTTTCGGTCCACGTTTTATAGTACAATACAAGATGCAGCTACAGAATCCTGATTGTTTGCTGTCTAGTCTCCAAAGAGAGGAAGCCCTGTATGTCTTCAGACAGTTATTTGCATTGTCGATCATCTCTTTACCATTAGAGTAAAAATTTCTCCTAATGTTGAGCCAAAATCTGTTCCCTGTAATTTGCCTTTAATTGCTTCTAGCCCTACCCTCTGGTGAAACAAAAAAAACAAGTCTGAACAATACCGGAATAATTACTAGCATGCGTCTTTTCCATTCTTCCTTTCGTTCAACTGTCCTGCAAATTCACCCCATCTTCATTCTGCTCTTTCTGAATTCTGGCTTAAAAAGAACACCCAATGTTCATTTCCAAAATTAGTTCCGGTAGGCAATAATCCCTTTGACCCATCTGCAGCTTTTTTCCATCCTTTTGTTATGGATCTGCTGGTATCTGTTAATAAAATATTTCAAAACAGTGGTTTTCCTGCAATCCTATGTGATGGCACCAAAGTTTTGTTTTAATGCAGTATCCAAGTAATATACTCCACAACTCCCATGTTTTACTATAATATTGAACTGTCTTACACTTTTGTACTATAATGTAAGACTGCTGCTTTCTACACCACTTTATGAAAATGGGGCCCACTAAACAAAAATTAACCTGACTGTTGGAGGGTGTTCCATTTTTTATTTTAATACAGGCAGTCCTTGCTTAATGACTTAGCAATTGTATGAAGTTATGACAGACTCCTCCCCAGAGCTATTTATAACCCATTTTCAAAGTTCTGATAGCTGCACACACACATATACCTGCAGTCACATGTCTGCATTTTGGGCTGTTAGCAACTGGCTTGCATTTACAGCCATTTGCAGTATTTCATGGTCAACTGACTGCAATTTTAGCAGATTTTGCTGATTCCCTATTTCCAGAAAAAACAAGACATTTGGGAAAATGCAGTGATCTTACAACCATAACTTACGACCATAATTCTGGGCTCGATTACGGCTGTAAGTTGAGGACTATCTGTAATGTGTATGTGTCTCTATGTGTCTCTGTACTAAAGCCAATAAATTCTGAAAGAGCACCCAATCTTACTATTCTCCCTTGTTCTTCTGAATACCTCCCTCTTGTCTTGGACCTTCTGGTTAATTTATAATATATTGGTAAAGAAACTAAGAATGATTGAAAATGCTGGAAACAGGATGATGAATTGAATTGGTGTTTTCCCATATTTGTTTCTCCTTTTTAAAAGCAACCATGAACATTCAGATAAAACATTGTTTTTTCCCTCTTCTCCCCTTTCCAGAATGAAACCTTCAATAGTGTTGGAAAAAGAGCATCAGAGAGAGATAAGCTAAAGTCAACTGCAGAAAATAAAATGATGAAATGGGAATGTGAAGAGAAGCAGGGATATAGCTCACAGATCCAAGAGAAGAATTTATAGGGCCTGAAGTGCAAAGTAAAAACAAAAGTTTGGGCCATGAGATGTATACTGAGATGGTCAAGCCATATACAGCCCAACAATTCCCAAATTCAACTTTCCCAACGTGGTCACTCCCGCAATTCTCCCAGCCTTTGGGCACACTGACTTAAACCAGGAGTTAACAGCATCTTTAAAAAGCACACAGTGTTGTGCTTCTCCTAATTTTAAGAATCGAAAATGCTAAACTCTTACAAGATCTCGCTTCTGAACAGAGACTTTTCAAGAGTTGGTATATCAAGTGAAAGTGGATACTGAAGCATTATTATCCTCATCACCAAGATCACTGCCATCATGTTCCTTGACCACCATCTAGTGGTGCTACAGTTGCTGCAAAACCAACTTTTTCTTCCTGTTCCTAAGTACTAAAAGAGGAATGTGCCAATACTGATGGGAACATACCAATTTCAACATTTTATTTATTAAGGATTATGAAGTAGAATAGAACAGGTCAACAAGTGCAAATAAAAAGAAGAATACTGCAAAGTATTGAAGCCAACCCAAGAACAAGTTAAACTATCTGAGTTATTAAAAGTAACTTTTTTTCCTCCCAACAACAGAAAGAAACAGTGATTTAAGCTGAAGAACTATGAAATCCTGTAAAGTGATATGGTTTGAATTGACTTGAGGTTGGTACCCTTCCAATTACAGCTGTCATCAAAAAGCTACCCAAGATAGCTTAAAAGTCCTTTTTGCTAGATTGGTCTTCTCATACTGGATGCCCTGGAATTCCCTGACAGTAGAAACTTTTCACATCAATGGCTCAGAATGATGGGAACTAGGTCTCAATACACCTGGAGCACTCCTGATGAAGGAGAAAGCAAAAACCATCTTCATGCAGAAAAGTCTGAAAAAAACAGCTTGATCCAAGGTTAGGAAGATAGAAAAATTAATGATGTTTTTTTGATGGTTGGAGAAGATTCTTGAGAATACCATGGATAGCCAAGAAAACAAACAAATGATTCCAGAGTTCTTATTTAAGGCACAAATGACAGGCTCAAATTATCATACTTCAGATAACATATGCAAATATCTATTCCCTTGAGAAGTCCATAAAGATGGGAACGGCGAAAGGAAGAGGAGAACAGGACGATCAACAGCAAAATGTTAAGACTCAGTTATAATGGCAATGGATGGCCCATTGGAAGATCTAGAAGACTAGGATAGGAACATCACGGGGGATGAAATCTATTTGTATGGTTGTTAAGAACCAACACTAACTTGATAATAATCATCAAAGCAGATGACCTCCAAGATTCCTTCCAACTCTGCTATTCTATGTTCTATGTATAATCATAGTCACCAGCGGTTTGCCACTAGCAGTAGCCTTTTCACCATTACCTAGGTTCTGCTTCCCTCTGCTGTTAGTAATCTGAAGCTGCAGCTTAAAGTTTTGCAACAGGTTCTGTAAAGCAGTGATCCCCAACCTTTTTTACGCCGCGGCCTGGTACCGGCATCAGCTGGGCGCCGCCATCTTTTTTTGATGAAAACGTGCTTCCGGTGAGCTTTCTACCCGGAAAAGCTCACCGGAAGCACTTTTTCATCAAAAAAAGATGGCGGCGCCAGCAAGCCAGCGGCCCGGTAGGACTTGTTCCGCAGACCGGTACCGGTCCACGGACCGGTGGTTGGGGACCCCTGCTGTAAAGTATATATTGCTTCCCAAAAGTTGGTTTCACCTTTCTGAGAAGAGTTAATCTGAAAATAGATGAAGGTGACAGCTAAAGGCTAACTTTGCAGACAAAAGGCCATGAAACTGAAGTGGCCGAGCAGATCTGATGAGCAATCCACAAGCAGCAGGACCAAAAGCTATAAATTAAATACATCTGAATACTTGAAAGGATCTAACATAGGAAATGAGGATCTCTTTTAGTCTAAACTGTTCCAAAATATAGCTCACAGAATAATGAATTTAATTTGTAGGAAGACAGATTCCAGTTAAATATGAAACTTCCTAACACTAAGGGCAGCTTGAAACCAGAACCAATTACCCAGAGAGATGGTAGGATATATTTGAGGATTTGTGTTATTTTTTTTTCAAGGAGATATTGAACATGGGAGTTTTAATTTGGATTCCAGCACTAAGGAGGGGGTTGGATCTTATGGCTCAAATATCAGCTTCCTAGGATTCTGTCAAATCTGGAACTTCCATTTGGGTAAATTATGGAGATTCTCAGCCATCCAGGTCATGGTTGTCCCAAAGGTGCTTTTTTCAAGAGGCAACTGGACTTTCTGGTTTTTCTTTGAAGACGTTTCGCTTCTTATCCAAGAATAAGACAGGTTAATTTCACAATTTTAGAGCTGAAGAAGCTTCTTGGATGAGAAGCGAAACATCTTCAAAGAAAATCCAGAAAGCCCAGTTGTCTCTTGAAAAAAGCACCTTTGGGACTTCCATTTGGGTAATGCAACTGTTTCCATGAATCAACAATGTGAACACTGATCTTAGTCTTTCAATACTTCCATTTTCTGATGTTAGCTGCCTTCTATATTCAAATAAAAATAAAAAGGATAGAATAAATTGAATAAATAAAATAGGTTAAATAAACGTGAATAAATACACAAGTATGTAGAAAACAATTTGTTTAATAATCTCTTTTCAGAATTGCTTATGCAAAGTTACATGGATATATTCAGGACTGGCTGAAATATTAGGCAAACTTGAGCAGTGTCAGCTGCACTAGACAGATAAGGCCAAGAAATCATTTTCACAGGAAGGTTAAAGTTGCCTTTATTGAGACTGGCTATAGTAAACGAATCATGGGGGTCTGATTGAGCTGGGCCTTCTCCTCCTTCTTATAGTTCAATGAATTATGCCCCTTTTGCCTACACAATAGAACCTGCATATCTCAACCAAGGTCATCTTCCTTACTCTCTACTCTCAAGAGGTAGACAGGGACATACAGTGAGTTAGGGCAAGTTCTATCTCCCTAATCGGCAACAAATGTTTTATTGCACTCAAGGTAATGTTCAAGGCTTTCTAGAATAGCTTGCCCAAGCCATTTGCTCTGAGATGATCCTTCTAGAAATGCTTTGGGAGGTGGCTATCATGTGTACCTACACAGGCAGCCATTCTGGAAGCCTCACAAAATGTGCTTCAGAGGGAGCTCTCAGAGGCCAACTGATCTAGAGCAGGGGTGTCAAACTCAAGGCCTGCGGGCCAGATTTGGCCCACATGGTGTTTAGATCTGGCCCATGGGACCACCCAGAAAACAGTAAAGGACCAGGCTGCAGTGCCTCTGCCAGCAAAAACGGAGCTCCGTTTTTGCTGGCAGAGGGTTGCAGGAGGCCGTCACAGCTGAAAACGGAGCTCGCAAGAGCTGTGCACAACCTTCCTTAGCTCTGTCTGGCAGAGGGTTGCAGGAGGCTGTCACAGCCAAAAACAGAGCTTGGGAGCCTGTTTTCGCTAGCAGAGCGCTCGGGGTACCAGAGGTGCCCCCAACATGAGTGACATCAAGCTGGTCACACCCACCCTGGCCATGGCCTCCCCAGCTCCACAAAGTCAAACACAACCCTGATGTGGCCCTCAATGAAATTGAGTTTGCCACCCCTGATCTAGAGGATAAAAGTGGTCTTCCTGTTAATGGAAGGGGCAATCGAGAGGAAAAAGGGGAATCATGGCAGGTCCTCCTCCCACCCATGGGTTCTCTCCAGTAACTTTTTAGGCATATCTTATAACTACAATCATATTTTTTTTATTTGTCCTGAATGACCAATATTGAAATAAATATATTACATAGTCTCCATCTCAATTGCTCTTTCTCTCTCTGTCATATCTTCACCACCCTTCGGTCACAGAAGTTGAGAACATGTTGCCCTCAAGACAGCCTTGATATCCAGCTTGTTTATTAATTAATGTATTCATCAAATATATATAGCCTTCCAACTGCCAGAGGAACTCTGAGTAGCAAACGATAAAAATAAAATGCAAATTTATAGTTAAGAATAAATAGGTTGAAGCCCCTAAAAAATCTCCATTTTAACATCCAGACATACCCACATTCTGTCAAACAGTGGGCAGCAAAATAGTCATTTTAGCCCAACATTTATGTTAAGAGCCGTAGTACTGCAGTAGTTAGAATGCAGTACTGCAGGCTATTTCTGCCGACTGCTAGCTGTCTGCAATTTGGCAAATTGAATCTCACCAGGCTCAAGGTTGACTCAGCCTTCCATCCTTCCGAGGTTGGTAAAACGAGGACCCAGATTGTTGGAAGCAATAGGCTGACTCTGTAAACTGCTTAGAGAGGGCTGCAAAGGCACTGTGAAGCAGTATGTAAATCTAAGTGGTATTGCTATTGCTGTTTTGGGAATGGCCACTGTTCCCTCCGCCATGGTTTTCTTTCCTTGTTCTAAACAGTCCTGAACATTTACTGCTTTTCCAATGGGAATCACTTTTATCCAGTCTCTTGATCATTTTAGCTCTCCTATCCAATACTTCTTTTTACTTCAGAAAGCACTGGGAGGCTATTTCATTTTGGAAAGAGAATGTGTGGAACAGAAGTTTTCAAGTTACCATAATGCAGGGCAATATTTTTTCAACCGTGGCAACTTTAAGATGTGTGGACTTCAACTCCTATAATTCCCCAGCTGTCCACACATCTTAAAGTTGCCACAGTTGAAAAACACCGATGTAGAGAGTAAGGATGATGATCTTGACCCTGGCAACACATCTTGCATATCTCCATCAAGGTCATCTTCCTTACTCTCTGCAGAGCTCGCTTCCTTGCCTTTTCTCCAGGTTCGGGTCACACACAGAGGAAGAGAAAAATAATCAAAAGAAATTACAGATATTCTTCCATCTCTTCACTTTTTTTGTACATGCAGAAATTCAGAGAAGACAGGGTTATTGGAAGCAAGAGAGATGGCATAAAGCAAGATAGCAGAGAAATGCCAGAATGGGCAATAATAACAAGAACTTCAACATATGCCCATCAGTAACTACCTAGGTGGCCATTCCTAGTTCAACACAATTTTTTTTTTTTTTGCAAAAGTAGGTTACATATATTTGTTATTTATGAGCCATGGTGGTGCAGTAGTTAGAGTGCAGTACTGTAGGCTACTTCTGCCGACTGCCTACAATTTGGCAGTTCAAAATCTCATCAGGCTCAAAGTTGACTCAGGCTTCCATCCTTCCGAGGTGGGTAAAATGAGAACCCAGATTGTTGGGGGCAATAGGCTGACTCTGGAAACCACTTAGAGAGAGCTGTAAAGCACTGTAAAGTGTTATATAAGTCTAAGTACTACTGATATAGTTCCTCGCTTTTTTTTATTCAGCAGCTCAAGACATTTGTTCCTCCTGTTTCTCCCTACAGCAGCCCTGTGAGGGAGGTTGAGTTGACAGTAAGCAACTGGTACCAAGGAGCTTCCATGGCTGAAGAAGGGCTCAAACGAGGGACTCCCCACTCCTAGGTTCAGTACCTTCACCAGTATACCTTAACAGTTCTTTATGTGCATATACATATACATGGGCATGCATTTCTTTTTCAAACCACGTGTAGACCTACTTTCTTTTTCACCACTGGGCTGCAATGAGTAAAGAACTCCTTGTTGAAATGTTAATGGGAGATTTGGAGATGCAGGAGGTCCCGGTGGCCCTGGTGGACCAGGAATCCCTGTCTCACCAGGATATCCTCTAGGTCCTGGAGGTCCAAGTTGTCCTAGAATTCAGACCAAAGAAAGAGTCAGGATTCTTCAGAACACTGGAAGCTTGTTGGCTTTGCTGAGGATTAAGCTGAGCCTTAAGGCATCTGTCACAGAGCCTATTTGTTAATGCAAAAAATCTTGCTTCAGATATGTGAAACATTGATAAAGGAAGGACAATTTCCTATCACAGCTAAGGCATGGCCAAGCATGATTCATTCCTAACCTCCCCACCCCACCAGTTTATCAAACCACTTCCTCCCAACTTTGGATTATCAACCATAAATATTTTGCATGCCAAGTGTAGACATTGGTGGAGAAAGTTCTGGCTGTGAGTAGGAGACCAGAGCAAAAGAGTATTAATGCTCCAGGGTGGATGAGTCTGCCTATTGAGATGAGGTGGACTGCTTGCTTATGTGGTATGGAGACAATAACTTGGTCCTTAAAACCAATCAAACCAAGGAACAGATCAGACATCCAGCCTTTGCTTATCAATGGAGACCAAGTAGAGCAAGTGGCCAGTTTTAAGTTTCTGGGTGTTATCATGAAAGAGGACCTGACCTGGGACACTCACATTGCAGCACTGATCAAAGGAGCCTAACAAAGATTATACTTTCTGAGGCTTCTCAGGAAACAATAACTGAATGAAAAACTGCTGGTGACTTTCTACTGCTGCACCATACAGAGTATTTTCACCTCAATAACTGTCTGGTTTGGTTCTGCAACCCAACAGGACAGACACAGACTTCAGAGGATAATTAGGACTTCAGAAAAAAACAATTACTACCAACTTGCCTTCAATGGAGGACCTGTATACTACACAAGTCAAAAAGAGGGCTGTGAAAATATTTACAGATCCCTCACATCCCAGAAACTGTTTCAACTCCTTCCCTCAAAACGATGCTATAGAGCACTGCGCACCAGAACAACTAGACACAAGAACAGTTTTTTCTTGAAAGCCATCACTCTGCTAAACAAATAATTCCCTCAACACTGTTTAACTATTACAAAGTCTGCACTACTATTACTGTTAATCTTCTCATCACTCCTTATCACCCATCCCCTCCCACTTGTAATTGTAGGACTGTAACTTTGTTGCTTGTATCCTTAGGATTTATATTGACTGTTTCCTAGTATGATTTGATTGCTTATTGTACCCGATGACTGTCATTAAGTATTGTACCTTATAATTCTTGACTCTTGTATCTTTTCTTTTATGTATATTGAGAGTATTTGTACCAAGACAAATTCACAAATTCCTTGTGTGTCCAATCACATTTGGCCAATAAAGAATTCTATTCTATTTTTATTTTTATTTCTATTTCATCTTAACTTACTGCACCTCTGTATGGTTTGCCAATTGCACAGTGGCAGATAGGAAAGCTCTCCAGAGGGTTAACATCATTGCTCAGAGGATCATTGGTTGCCCTCTCCCCTCTTTGGAAGAGCTTTATAACTCCCGCTGCCTTAAGAAAGTCCAAAACATTCTCAAAGATCCATCTCATCCTGGGCACCCTTTTTTTGAACTATTACCATCTGGCAGACGGTACAGAATAATAAAAACAAGGACAAATAGGCTGAAAAACAGCTTCTATCCCAGGGCAGTAACTAGATTGAATTCTACTGTATAGTGCAATATTAATGCAATATTGGGTTTTCAATTCAAATGTATAGAATGTGAAGGATGTGTGTTTGTGTTTTTATTTTTATCGTTATAATGTACGCTGAAGATGGCATTTAATTTCATTCTATGAGGTGCAATGACAATAAAGTAAATTAAACTAAACTAAGAACCAAGACATAAGCCAGCTTGTAAAAAAAAAAGGACCAAATGGTACCAGGAGTACATACCAACTTGAAGAGAATCGGTTGCTCAAGTGAGCTTCAGTTTGAAGATGACATTTTTTTTAGTCCTCTCCCAAAAGACTGAATGGCTGGCCTGGATGGGGAAGCATCCTCCGTCCAGCACAGAAGGTTGCAAAGAACTATGCAGGTAGTACTTGTTTTACAACCTTTGTCTTTAATGACCATTTGCAGTCTCGAAAGAGGTGCTTTTCAGTTCATAAAGCACTTTTAGCCATTGTAAAAAGTTGCGTTGCTCTCCCCCACCTCCAGTCACATGACCACATTTTGGGTGCTTGGCAACTTGTTCACATTTATACTTGGTTACCAAGTGCACTGTTATCATGCAAGGAGGCAAAATCCTTCCTTATGCTGGGGGAATGGAATTCAAAGATGGCAAAAATACTAGCAGGCAGAGGGAAGACCCATTCAGATTTGCAAAATTCTATTACCGTAACCCTATAATCAAAGTAGTTTTGGTATTTATAACTTTGGTTATCAGGTCTGCTCTGAAAGCACCTCCCCCTTCCTATCTTTATCTACAAGAGAATTGGGGAGGGGGGTTCAAGTTCAAGACCTTTTCTGAGTAGTGCAGTGGCCTAGAGATGGAGCTCTCGCCTTGCAATCAGGTAGAGGCAGATATTTCTCTCTGGGCACAATGAGAATTTATCTGCTGAACAAAACTCCACGTTGGTGACAGGAAGGGCATCTGGCCAGTAAACACTCAGCTCCATTCAGTTGCCCAGACTCCACCCCACAAGGGATTATGGGGTCATTAAAAGATGATGATAATGAAGTCTAAGACCTTGTTCTAAAATTTCTGCTTTGGACTCAGATTTCTCTGACAATTGTCTTGGTTGCAGCTCTTCCTCTTTATTACTCAAGGTTATTTTCACAGCTCATTACACTTCTCCTGCTTAGCACTCCAGGTGGTAGAGGCATGTCCTGTTTCATGCTTATTTCCTGCAGCTTCTGAGATGATATGGTCAAAAACCCTTAATGACATTGTCCTGTCCCACTACCTCTTCACCCTTCACCCTTCTTTGTCTACCAAAATAGAGAACCACTCCATTCTAAAAAAAAGGAAAAGTAACGACTTGTTCTGAACTGTTCAGATAAAACCCCTGGATAAAACCCCCTGGATCTAGAAGCCCTGGTCTCTGGAATTGCAAAAACGAGATATGAGGTTTACTCATGAATTTCTTCTCTATATTCCAGTTGTTTAGATTGTGAAGTGTAAGCAGCTGGAATATACCAAGTAAGAAGATGTCTCTCAAATTTGTGGAAATGTTTTCTGCCCAATTTCTAGGCATGCTTATGTTGTCACATATCTGGGAACAAATCAATTGATGAGTTAGAATGTTTATTTACATGGCACCATTTTTCTACAACCTAGTGTTCTCAAGATACAACTTCCACTTTCCCAGGCCAGGCATTATAGTCTAGAAACCAAGGGAATATTTCACATGTAATAGAATTGCTTACATCCCAATAGATTAGAAATACGATTCGAAGTAATGTTAAAAACTATCAATGGCTTTTTTCCCACTTCTATCATATGTATTGAGCGCCATGCAGTTTCTAAGTGCAAAACTGTTCTAAAAATATAAAGCATACTACTACTGATGAGAAATTGTTGCCTTTGATCATGCATGTAATGTTCATTAATAAAATGAGGACACATAAAAGTTCTTAAATGGAGTAAATTACAGACACTTATTTTTAAGTTTTGGAAACAAACTGCTTTAATGACAGTTAAGCATTGGGATTAGGAAGGATAAGCAAGAAGAAAATTCAATTCAGCCATCAAGACTGAAGATTTGTGTTTGAGTGTGCTGGGCTCCAGGTCCCAGGAAGTCCTTTCCTGTAATCTAAATCACTGTACTGATGGGAACTATGGGAATATGGTTCATCTGGAAGCTGCAGAATTGCCACGTAGCATGTAGCCCAACTCCAAGTATCTTCATGGAATTTGCCAACTCAGCAGAGGTGGGATTCAATTTTTTTTACTACCGGTTCTGTGGGTGTGGCTTGATGGGCGTGGCAGGGGAAGGAGACTTTGAAATCTCCAGGCAGAGGTGGGATTTGCCGGTTCTCTGAACTACTCAAAATTTCCACTACCGGTTCTCCAGAACTGGTCAGTACCTGCTGAATACCACCTCTGCAACAGGCTCCATATTGTCCTCGTATAAGTATAGCTGCTTCTGTCCTAACTCCACTCACCTGGTGGTCCAGCTGGTCCTTTTTCACCAATCTCTCCCTTTTCCCCCTTTGGCCCTTGTAGTCCTGGTCTCCCAGTTGGTCCTGGAAGCCCTAAAAATACAAGCATGAACATTTTGGTTCAAAGGGTAAGCTACAGTATCAAACAACAGGGGGTCAGTAACATATTTCTCCTTTTGGCGCACTGGTTAGAATGCAGTGCTGCAGGCTGACTCTGCTGACTGCCAGTAGTTCGATCCTCACTGGCTCAAGGTTGAATTAGCCTTCCATCCTTTCAAGGTCAGACCGTTGGCAGCAATATGCTGACTCTGTAAACCACTTAGTGGGGGCTGTAAAGCACTGTGAGGCAGTATATAAGTCTAAGTGCTATTGCTATGCTTACAAATACTCTATGTGTCTGTATGTATCTTTATTGTCATCAAAAAAGTTGAATGAGAAACAAAACAAAATGTAAATATGACTTGCCTAATTAAGCAGTCCAACTATAAAATATTCATTAATATTAAACAGCTCATAATGTATCAAGAATAATAATTCACACCTTCCTAATTGAGTCACAAGCTGTGTTCTTAATTGATAAGCACTGCCAAAAATTCAGCTGCAGCAGGAGTCTCCTTGAAATTTCTGTCACAAAACAAACATTTTACATATTCAGCATGAGATCCACCTGCAACTATTTTTAACATGACCCAGATCAAGTCTAAGACAAGCCTCTTTCTCCAACCACTCTCAGATAATTACAGCAGGTCCAACACATATTTGAGTCTGAGAGATAATGTCAGGAAAGAGGAAAAGCTTGAAAAAATTGGGTATGTTTGGCACGGAGAAGAAAAGACTGGAGGAAGACATGATGGCTGTCTTATTTGAAGGACTGACAGGTAGAAGATGAGATAGACTTTTTCAGAGTCCTTCTGGAAGACAGGACATAATAAGTTTAAATTTAGAAAGAGTATATGTTGGTTGGACATTGAGAAAAATTCCTAAAGGTAAGGGATATTCAAAAATGGACCAACCATTGGAATTCCTCTTCCTTCATTGGAGGTGCTTAAACTGAACCTGAATGACTCCATCAGGTGTAAATGGATTTCTGGACTGGATAGGGATGGATTACATGAACCTTAAAGCCATTTCAAATTCTGTGATTCCCAAAGCAAAAGGTAAATCAGACCTTGCTAGTAGCTATGTATACAAAACATGCTTAACCAAGTTACTCGAAACCTTAGTGACTCCATTTGCATAGCAACTAACTTTTACTAAGGTTGTTTTTATTTAAGAGTTTGGTTTAGTGGATGGCGAGCTAAGCACATTGTGTGAACCCAGCCAGTTTGTACTTCAATGTATGGTGAGAACCCATAAAATGGATAAATTCCATTATTAGCATTAAGTACATTGAGCAATTGTATGTAACTATTTCTCAATGCAGTGTCTTTCAAATGCGTTGAAAAAGCATAGATAATATGATTATTGTTAGGAACTTAAGATATGAGATAAATTAACTGATGCCTGTTCTGAATTACATTCATTCTGTGAAGAATAAGTGAGGCCAATAAATCCCACACAGTCTGGTTCTCCACGGATATAATGGATATTTGTTATATAAAATAATAGTTGGTGATCTCAGGCATAACAAAATTAAAGGAATGCCTGTATGCCATTAATTAATGCTTTGCTATATTTAAAAAAAGGTTGCATTTAAAAATAAGGTTTGCAGATTAAACAATTATATGGACAAGTAATATAATTTGCAGTGAGGAAATTAAACTTTCTTTCCTCATTCACTTTTCCCTTGTAACCTTTCCCCCCCTTACAGTTACCTCCATGCTGAAATCCCATTTCTCCTGCCCTCTTTCCACATGTAGCCAGCTTAACCAGCCTTGAATCCTTTCTCCCAGAGAATGCCTGTTCTTTTACTCTTTTCTTTCTGCACTGCTTTACCTGGAGCATTTCTCCCCAAGAGCCGTTTTTCACTCAACTAATTTTACCCCTTCTCTTCCCTTTTCCATGCCTTCCCTGTCACTCAGACAATCTTCTTCTACCAGAGGATAGAAAGAGAAAGCTATTGCATATATCATGAGAAATCACCACTAACATCAGTACCTGCTGTACTGGTGGATGGAAAGCTTAAAAGAAAGACTTCCTCAGTCTTTTATCACTCTTTTCCTAAGCTTATCATGTGTGTGTGTGTGTGTGTGTGCGTGAAAGAGAGAGAGAGAGAGAGAGAGAGAGAGGGAGGGAGGGAGGGAGGGAGGGAGGGGGAGAGGGAGGGAGAGGGAGAGGGAGAGAAATACAGTGACAGGGAAATGACGGTCATGCCCTTTCAACCTATCCATTACTATGTCAACCAAGGGAAGTTGGTAAAGAGATTGAGTAGCATAGGTCATTTGGATAAAAGCGACATCACACTTCCATGACACAAGCCTGACGTCTTTTATGGTGGCATCATAATGATGTCATGCTCATGATGGTATGCAGAAGTCCAAAAAGAGCAGTGTGATGCTGCTTTCATCATTTTGATAAAAGTGGCTGTATTTGTGGAAAGCCATGTCTCTAAACATTGTGGATTAGTGAACATTGGAAATAGCTTATTTGCAGAGCTAACTGCATATGGGGAACACTTTTCTCTTTATGGAGATCCAACAGGATTTCCACTTTTCTTGGAAAATGTCTAGACATACCTCTTTCAAAAATGGCTGGTTACTTACTTAAATAAATAAGAGACTTGTATATCGAATGATAATGCTATAACTAAGGATCAAATTTCTTGGCCTGAGCCCCAGACTTAATGTTATTTGATTGAAATAATGAACCACAAATTCAATGCAGAAAAAAGACAGAATTGGCATGAAATACATGGTATTTCCCATTTTTATGAAAATCAGATGCCCAGGAAGAGAACATGAGGCAATCTGCTCACCAACAGGTCCCATTGGTTTCCTCAGGGCTGTTCCTGGATTAGCTAGTGGAATAGCATCAGGCACCACATCATCATACCAAGTGGCTGTAGTTCTTGTCATTGGAAGATCATTGTCTGAAGGTAAAGCTCGTTCTGCAGCCTCAAGTAAAAGGATCTGGATGGAAAACACAATGGACAAAACAAATTGTATACATGAAAGTGACATGGAGACAATCATGTTTATACTTATACCTATTGTAAGTGATTGACAAATCAAATAAATAAATAAAAAATAAATAAATAAACAATCATACTAAGTCTTTTTGAATAGGATGGGATGTTTAAATGAAAATCAGGACCACGAACAGCTCCTAATCAGTCCTTGAGGACTGGAGCAGCTGGAATTTCTCTGGAATAGGATTCCGAACAATTGGCTCAAGGGATGGTATCCTTGAGAAAACTTTGAATTTCTGGATCGCAATCTTTAGTTCCTATAAGAAGAGATTCTGGGACAGATGGGCTGCACCTTGCAAAAACTAAGAAGAATATTTTTGGAAAACATATTGTTGAAGTCATCTGGAAGGCAAGGGAATCTATTTTCTGAAATCAAATTTAAAACACAATCTAAAGTCAGTATACTATATTTTACATACACTACGAGATACAGCAGGGAAAATTTTTAAAAGAGCATTATTAAAGAGCTTAATGCCCATATGAGAAGCAAACAAGCTATCTTAAAAGTCCTAGTATAGGAGAGTTAGTATGACATTGAAACTCTTACAGACACTTGTTGGGATGGATAATATGACTGGAATACTGTGCAAGAAAGATGTAATTTGTTCTGAGGAAACAGATCTGACAAATCCGATAAAAGGAGAGAAGTCTCATTATATATAAAGACACATCTATACAAAAATTCATAAAGTCACTGGGAGTTTGGCAGCAATAAAATTTAATAACAACAACAATGCAACAGGGAGGAAAATCCTGTTGAAAGTGCTTGGGTAAATATTAAGACCGAAAACAAAAATGACATTGTTGTGGGCATGTACTACAAGCAACTCAATCAAGCAGAAGATACAGGTGAAAGTTTTATAGACTGGATGATCAAGATGTCCAGGAAACACTATTGTGAAAATAGAGGATTTGAACTACCCTGACATGACTGAGAATCATATTCTGCAGCAAGTGGGAGATCCAATAGGTTCTTGACATACCTTGTAGATGACTGCAATGGAGGAAGGAACTGGAGAATCAGCTATACTGGACTTAATATTTACTAACAAGGATAAGTGGTCAAGGAAATGGAAGTTGTAGGAAGTTGTGCGCCCATGGACTCCTAGAATTTACTACAGCTTAGGCAGCTGCAAATATTTTATATACAATGTACTGCCCTTGTTTGGTAGTTTCTAGAAAACAGAGCATAGAATCAAAGGGACCACACAGGTTTTCTAGTCCAACTCCCTGATCAAGGCAGAAGATGTAATACCATCCCAGTCAAATTGCTGTCCAGTCTATTTTTGAAAACCTCCAGTGATGGAGCACCCACAACTCCTGGAGACAAACTATTCCATTGATTAATTGTTCTGTTAGAAAATTTCTCCTTACTTCTAGGTTTCTTAAATAAATTTTTACCCATTACTTCTTGTCCTGCCCTCTAGTGCCTTAGAGAATAAGTCAATCCCCTCTTCTCTGTGACAGCCTCTCAAGTTTGGGAAGACAGTTATCATGTCCCCCCTCCCCCACAATCTTTCTCTTCTATAGGCTAGACATATCTAACTCCCTCAACAATTCATCATGTGATTTAGCCTCCAGACTCCTTATTAAATTATGTCTGAATTTGTAGGCACATTTATCTATGAGAAAGCATGATTTAATCTACTGGGACTTATTTCTGATTAGATGTGGATAAGACTGCACTTCATCTCATATAACTGTTAACAGTTATTAAGAAAAAATGTATTTAAATTAAATGTGTGGAACAACAACTCTATTTTTCTTTAAATAAATAAGCAAAAGCTTTTTAATGATATGGGAAAAAGTTATAATTTGGAGCCTGGCAGAGAAAGATAATTATATTACAAAAAAGAGTGATCATGCAAAAACTATGTGGTCCTTTAGCTATCACACACGGAATCAATCATAACTAGCATTTGTGTAATCTTATGACCTCACATCCAGGACACCACAGCCTATGCCCTCACTGGGATGCACGATATCAGCTCAGATCAGATAACTGCAAGTTTTCAAGGATTGATCCAGACCTTAGATTTCTAACAGACTATTCATAATCCACCATGAATTTTGCTAAAAGATGCTGGCAGATAGGACAATAAAAACTGGGCTCCAGAGAATCTGGCAAATATATATAGTCCTGACAGATTATACATTGTGAAATCTAATACCTAAGTATAGTTTTAAATAACATATATTATATACACAGGGGTGGGCTTCAAATTTTTTAGCAAGGGGCTCTCTGCCCTAATGACTGGTTGGGTGGTCATGTGACTGGGTGGCTGTGCCCAACTTAACGTTGCTTCCTTGCCTTAATTACCTAAAAAAGGGTATATACCAAAAAGTTGTTTATTATTTCATGCATTTAATATTTAAATAAAAGCCAGGCTTAATAGTAGTGACTGTGAGAGGGATCTTGGAGTCTTAGTGGAGTTTCTGGTGAGTTACGTGATTCTTATTATTTGGGAATTAATCCCCTCAGAGGCTAGTGCCTATGTTATCTGATTTTCTCAATGGCTCTCCCTGGCAAGCACTAAGTGGGTTGTTTATTTAGCTTGCAACACTTTTATGAGGTGTGAAATGCTCTTGGCTGAATGCCCAGAAGTTCAATTAAGCCTATTAAGAGCTTTCCTTTATTGTTTGTCTTTCTGAGATCATTGTGGGCTCTCCGAGCCCCGCAGAGTCTTAGCTAGGGGCTCTCCCGAGCCCCTGGAAGCCCTCAGTAGCCCACCTACACTATATATAGCCACGTGCACGCAAGGCTTCATGGTTGGTCAAGTACTGGTGGCCTTGGAAATAAAGATCCACAATAACCCAAAAGAAGAGAACAACAACAAAGATGATTAGGCACTCGAGGCTAAAACACATGAAGAACGGTTGCAGGAATTGGATATGTCTAGTTTAATGAAAAAAATGAAAATCTTAAAAATCTATGCACATAGTATATTCATCCTAAGTTTCACTTTCCTGAAGTTGAACTTCAAGAGACCGAATCTCCTGGCCTAAGGCAACAACAGCCTTATCTCTTTTGGTGACTTCTCCCTTGGGATCGTGCCTACATTATGTGGTGAGATCAGTTCAACTGAATTGGTCTAGGAAATCTCATATAAAAGAAAATTCTCAATCAACCTATCCTCAGCCAGTTAGCCACTGACTCTAGAAGCTAGGTTTAATGGGAAATGTAGTACAGCAGAAAAGAAAGAAAAGAAAAACCAGAAAGTCCAATTGTGTCATGCTCCTGGTGGAGACTGACTCTGTGGGAGAGGAGGAACAGCCAACAAGGAGTGGAAGTGCGGCTCTGGAGGTTGTGGAGGAGGCTGGGGAAGGGCTGGCTGGGCAGTCAGAGGAGGACCCAGGCCCATCCCCTCTCCATCCTAGGAAACGCAGGGAAGAGAGGATAAAGGAGAGAAGTGGTTTACGGGGGAGGAGAGGGCATTGATCCTCTTCATGGGCTGCAGCTGTGACAACTGGATAAGAGGACGGACATGCGTATGGGCCAGTGCTGGAAATACAACGTGGAAATATCTCTAGTTTATTGTTTCTCTCTGAAGTTGGCATCCTTCCCAGTGTGTGTTCTGATATCTGTGGACATCTTCAAGCCCTTATCTTGCCTGGTTTTTTTTTTTTTTTTTACTATTTATAATTTAAACGGCATTTCCTCCTTCTTGTAACTCCTTGCGTGGGAGTTTTTTTGTCTCCAGTCAAGAATATTTGGAGCTTGGAAGCAAGTGAAGGAATAAAAGGGGCTTCACCTTTTTTTGTGATTGTTTCTTTTGTACCCCACTCTGGGTCATCACAAATTGCTTCTTGAAAAAAGCACTTCTGGGACAACCATGACCTGTATGGCTGAGAATCTCCACAGACGATAAAAGGAGAATGATTGAAGTCTTTCATATGAGGCTCTAGGAGATCCTCCAGAAATATGGGATGGGATATTTTAGAACTGCTGAGATCAATGAAGTCAGGTAGATGAAGGCCAAAGGCAAGGAGAATTCTCAGCCATCCAACTGGTTTCCCCGAATAATTTACTTACTTTGGCTTCCAAGATATTCAGCCTTTCAGTCATATCTGTGAGCTTTGTGCAATTCATACATTCTAAAAGAAAGAAAAACATTGAGTCGGTTACAACATATGGTTAAAATAAATGAGCAACTCATATTGATCATGTTTTAATTTTATTTTAATTACTGCAATGTTCTGTTTGTGCTTAGTTTTTCAATTAAAAAAAAATCCCTGGGGGGAAATTGTAATGATTTATTAACACAATAACATTTCAAAAACAGTACACATTCCTATGTTGAATGCAAATAAATAGATGATTAGTTTCATAAAAGAAGCAGATGGATGATCCTTATAACATTTAAAGAGTGGTCTATAAATCAAGCTGGCCTGGAAACAATAATGATAAAAGAATGAGAAATGTTTTAACCAAATTTACTTGCTGGAGGACAAGGAGTAGAAAACAGGGTTGTAAATGATTTGGACTACGGTTCCCATCAGCACCAAACAAAAACAGCCAATGAATAAGGATTCTAGTAACTGTTGTTCAGAAGTCTTCAGTTGCTTAACTGTGCCCAAAGAAGGGATGGGGAAAAGTAAATTTCTTTATATATCTGCAATAGACAGACTTGGAAGTTCAGAACATATATTCCATCTTCTCTGTAAAGATTGTTGGATGGAACTACAGATAGTCCTCAACCAGTGATTTAGCAATTAACATATAACAACAAAGGCCTCAAAAATTACAGTCTGGTTCTGACAAACACACACACACACACACACACACACACACCACGGTCTCACAGCTGCAATTTGAGTGCTTGGCAACTGGCCTGCATTTACAGGCATTTACACTGTTTACAAGGTCATGGGCTGCAATTTATCCATTTATTTATTTATTTAAATTTGTATGCTGCCCATTTTGCAGTCTGAGGCAATTCTGGGCAGTTTACAATGCAATAAAACATAAGAGAGCTCAAACTGCCCAAGGAGCTGCTGACATAGTTCTACAGAGGAATTATTGAGTCTGTCATCTGCATCTCTATAACTGTCTAGTTTGGTTCTGCAACCCAACAAGACAGACACAGACTTCAGATGATAATTAGGACTGCAGAAAAAAACAATTTCTACCAGCCTGCCTTCAATCGAGGACCTGCATACTGCACAAATCAAAAAGAGGGCTGTGAAAATATTTACAGACCCTTCACATCCTGGACATAAACTGTTTCAACACCTACCCTCACAACGACACGATAGAGCACTGCATACCAGAACAACTAGACACAAGAACAGTTTTTTCCCGAACACCATCACTCTGCTAAACAAATAATTCCCACAACACTCTCCAACTATTTACTAAGTCTGCATTACTATTACTATTAATCTTCCCATCCTTCCTTTCACCCATCTCTTCCCACGTATGACTGTATGACTGTAACTTTTTTGCTTGTATCCTTACAATTTATATGGACTGTTTCCTAGTATGATTTGATTGCTTATTGTACCCTATGACTATTATTAAGTGTTGTACCTGATGATTCTTGACTCTTGATGAATAGTATCTTTTCTTTTATGAACACTGAGCTTATGCACCGAAGACAAATTCCTTGTGTGTCCAACAACACTTGGCCAATAAAGAATTCTATTCTATTCTATTCTATTCTATTCTATTCTATTCTATTCTATTCTATTCTATTCTATTCTATTCTATTCTATTCTATTCTATATATATATGGATCTTTGGTTATTCGGGTTTTCTCCCGTGTAAGATTGGAAGTATCTAGGCAACGTTTCGATGAAGTCTCATTCATCATCTTCAGGCTTGTGTCTTCCGCTCTGTGCTTCTCAGAGTGATGTGAGCTTGCAGCTGCTTCTTCCTTTTAACTGCTAGTGAAGGTGTGACTTGATTGGGTGGGGGCTTGGCTGTGTTCTGATTCGAAGCTTACAAACATGTGGAGCAGGAAGATCTGCTTGTAAGCTTCGACATGGTTTCACTATTCACTCAAGTCCCGATAAAAGAGACCCTGGAAATCATCAAAAATAAATACCAACCAGCTAAACACCTCATGGAACTAACAGAACACTGCTTAACCAACACATATTTCATATACAAAGGACAAAGATACAAACAAATTGAAGGAGCCCCTATGGGATCACCACTGTCACCTGTCATTGCAAACCTGTTCATGGAAGAATTCGAATCCAGAGCCCTGGCCAATGCCATCCACAAACCCAAACTATGGTTAAGATACATCGATGACACATTTGTGATTTGGCCCCATGGAAAAGAAAACCTAAACAACTTCCTAACACACCTAAACAGCACACACCCCAAAATCAAGTTCACCATGGAAACGGAAACAAACAAACAACTACCATTCCTAGATGTACTAATCTACAAAAAAACAGATGGCACACTAGGACACACCATATACCAGAAGAAAACACACACCAACCGCTACCTCAACGCCCAATCCCACCACCACCCAGCACAGATAAACTCCGTGGCTAAAACACTAATTACTAGAACCAAACGCCTGGCAGACAAGACACACATTAAGACTGAACTATGCACCCTGACCAAAGTACTGATAGCCAACGGCTTCCACAAAAGCAAAATCACTGGCTTGATCCACAAAAACACACTGAGACATAATAGAGATCCAGAAGATGAACAGACCTATGGAACAGCTGTCCTGCCCTACATAAGAGGCACTACAGACAAAATTAGTAAGATACTACACAGACACCACATCAAGATTGCCTTCAAAACAGACAGAAAAATAGCAGCCATCCTCAGAAACCCCAAAGATAAAATTGACCTGGAAAACCAAGGCATATACGAAGTCCCCTGTGCATCATGCCCGGCCACATACATTGGACAGACCAATAGAAGAATAAGTACCCGCCTGGATGAACACAAAAATGCAGTAAAAAAGCTGGAACACACTTCCTCACTAGTCCAACACATGGAAGCCACAGGTCATAGCATCAACTTCAATGGCACCAAAACCCTAGCCACTATAGAAAACCCCAGCCACAGAATTATCAGAGAAGCCATAGAGATTGAAAAAAGACCAGAAAGCATGAACAGAAGAAATGATTCCACCAGACTGTCAATCATTTGGAAGCCTGCACTCACAAACAAACAAATCTCCACACCACAAGCCAGGCAAACACCTGGGCACAAACAGATCCCCCCTGATACCTCCAGCTCAAACACACCCCAACCAGGCACCCAGATGAAACCTAGCTTCCTAACTAATGATAGCCGTCCATTTACCCGGAGCCAAGCTGCACTAAAGGCCTCCAATAAAGTAACACAATGTTGCCAGCCAATCAAGATACAAAAAGAGCCAAAAAAACAGACAGAAGATATTAGAAACACCAATCAAGCAGAACACAGCAAACTCCAAGACCAATAAACACAGACCAAGACTCTCAACCAATCAGGATGAAGAAAAAACCATTCTGGCACAACAATAGGCTGCCTCAAATTCAAATCTGAAACCACTGTAAAAGCCTGACTCACAGATGAACACTATACAGAAGCCTGATGATGGCAGATGAGATTCTGCTGAAACGTCGCTACAACTTTAAAAGCACAACTGCTATGACGTGGGAAAATACCCGAACAAAGCTGAATGCCATACATATATATATATATATGTGTGTGTGTTTTCTTAAGTTTTCGCGGGTGCCTGATGATAGCAGATGAGATTCTGTATACAGAAGCCTCATGATGGCAGATGAGATTCTGCCGAAACGTTGCTACAACTTTAAAAGCACAACTATAATGACGTGGGAAAATACCGGAACAAAGCTGAATACCATACATGTAAGTACCCGCGAAAACTTAAGAAAACAAATACACACACACACATGCTGGAAATCAACATTTATTTCCAGTTTTCAGGAAAAACTGTCCATAGCAATCAATAGATTTGCTTAATGACTGGGTCAGTCATGTGATGACCCACTTTGAAACCATCACAAATTACAATTGTAATTGCCAGGCTCAATTTACAGTCTTAAATCAAGGACTACCTATAATGAAGGGGGGAACTATTGTCAAAGCTCCTAATGTTCTAAAAACTATGGTGAAAACCTTTCCAGTTTACTCTGTCATCTCAATTTTTAGTACCAATATTTACAATCCTTTCTGTTTGCTTTTGTGCTACTCTTTCCTTCGTAGTGCCACATCTATATGTCAAGCTTCACCTACTATGACATCCATCGTGTTCTGTTTTTAGATGTCAAGTCTTTTTGAACTAGAAAGGCCCATAACATTTTTACACAATTGTTGTGAAATACACATTTATTAGATTTATTGATTAGATTTATACCCTGCTGACTTTATTTTGTACGATTCAAGGCTGCAAATATAATACCAATAGTAATAGCATTTAGATGTATATACCACATCACAGTGCTTGACAGCACTCTCTGAGAGATTTACAGCACTCTCTGAGGGTTTTAAAAACATCAGCATATTGCCACCAACAATTTGGGTCCTTATTTTACTGACCGCAGAAGGATGGAAGGCTGAGTCAACCTTGAGTCAGTCGAGATTGAACTCGACAGTGGGCAGAGTTAGCCTGCAATACTGCATTCTAAACACTGTGCCACCATGGCTCCTAATGCTCCATTTTTCTCATAACAACAATCTTGTGAGATGGCTTGAGTTGACATAGAGTGATTGGTTCCAAGTCACTCAAGCTTAGAGGAGAATTAAATTCACAATGTCCCACTTTCTAATTCAGCACCTTAACAGCTACATCAATTGGCTCTCCTGTTTTTACATCTCACTATCTGGGGCCATCAAATCCCACTGGAGTCAAATCCTGCCTTCCTTTAAGCTGTCTGAAATTACCGAGAGAACTAAACCTTTCAGACTGGAATAAATTAAAGAAAGAGCTTGCAAAATCTCTACTGAGGTAGTCTCCGTATGATATACATTAACTTTTTCATTCTTTTGCAGGCATTTTTAAGCATGAGCTGATTCATCTTGAATTTATAGTGGATCCATTTAGATTCCAAGACAAGGCTGATACGAAGCCACCAACTTTCCTATTAGGCACACAGTCCTTCTAACT